TAATAATAATAATAATAATGTTTGTTTACTTCTCTGAATGTGTTTTTCCTCCAGTGCTTACCTTTAATTAGTCTTTGACTTTATGTTGTGTTTGTTCATAATGTAATTACCTGCATCTACACTGTGCTGTCTCTCCAATTGGCCTTGTAGCTGTTGACTCGGCACATAAATAATAAAGAACTGAAATGAACTGAATTATTATTCACACATTTTATACATGCCACAAATTTCAGGCATAATTTTTGGAATAAAAGTGGAAATTACATAAATAAATAAGGTACATCTTTTCTTTCATTCTCTTTAAATAATGACAGCAATTATCCAATACACTATTTAACCTGAAACAGAAACATAAGATTGTTAAGTTGAAACATTTCTGTGAACCATGTTTACCTGAGGCTCCTGTTTAACATTTATGATGACTTCTGGTTCAAGAGGGTGCCCATGGACCTCAATGTGCTTTTCAGGTCCATCAGTGCATTGCTCAATGTGATCAAATGCAGCTCTGTGGGCTTCCTGTGGTGTCATGAGTGGGTCTGTCTCTAACTGCTATAAACACATATAACATCTACATAAGCCTTGACATACATTTTAATTTTGTCATAAATAAAACCACTCTGTATGCCCTTCACTAATATAAACTAGAAACCCCACACAAAACCCTGTCATCAAAGTTAGGAATGCCACATATACACACAAGGGTAGAATTCTTGGGTTAAAAAGAAGGGAAAGAAGGGCGATAAAAACACACACTTTTATGAAACTGTCTATTAAGTGCTACGAACTGAACAGTGTTCAAATAGATTCATCAAATATAAAAAATATTTCCTTCCTACTTTCATTTTAATGTACCTATCTGTTCATGACAAATAATCACTGGGAGTTGTGCAGCACATTTTCTTGAAATAACTTCTATTAAAGTTAATTAATACAGCAATTTAATATTCCAAAATTGAACTGAAAATTTTATTTCCTTCAGAAGCAAGACGTGTTACATTGCTTATGAACCCTCAATTCCATAAAAACAACAAAGGGTACTGAAGTTGTTGTTCTTATACAAAACATCCTACTGTGGTGGTAATACAAATCTATATCTTCTATCCTGAAGATGAAGGTAGCACAGTGCAAAATCTCAGTAACGAGGTATCACGCTACACAATGTCACCAAGAAGAGAGTAATTTTCCAAATCATAGACACGAGTACATCAGATCTCACACAATTCTTTATTTATTTAGATACAGATTCAACATTCATGAATCAGCAAATAATTACAAATATATATATNNNNGTGATATATATATATATATATATAAGGTAAGTAAATCATCAGTTGGAAAAAATATATTGCTGCAACATTTGGCTTCAAAACCACAACAAAATTGGATAGGCATATATTACACAGTAGAGCCATGTTTCATAGAATAATTTTAGAACATCATGCAACAGAAGTCAACACTTATTACACGTTCCAGTCATTCTGGGTTCCTCAAGCACTGGAGAATTTGACCAGCTGAAAGACTATTAGCTTCTCAAGAGCAACTATGCTAAATAGAGTATTTTAGTACAGGAGTGGAGGTAAAGCTCAACACATTCCTCACCTCACAACTACATGGATCAGAGTGGTGAACTATTCAGTTACAAGGGACAGGTAAAAGTCAATTTAAATCAGAAGCTCGGTAACACCAGAGCCAACAACATGGTAGCTAAAATAAAAACCCACATGTCCCTGACACAGTCAAACCAGTCATCAAACCCATGATTAGTCAGTTTACTAATTACATTATCCTGGCTCATAAATGATTAATAAATTATAAATTGTAATCAGCTGATAACCCTAAAAATACTGTAGTTGCAATGTGTTCTATCCATGGTTATTGATGTCATATTCTACACATATAAGATAGCATCACTGCTACAGTAAAATAGCTGACGTCGAGGTTGGAAGGATATGGCAGCTTCTAAATGACCAACTGTTCATGCTATCTTTTACCACACAAAATTAAAGTGCTTTTATTTATGGTACACTGATCTGTAAAATTAGTATATAGTACAATTTCATCAATACAGAATTACAGGCATACAGACCTGATACTCTTCTTCCACATGGGGCTCTTGCTTTATGTTTATATGCATAACAACTACACTGTCGTCTTCAACACAAGTTACATTAGGTGATAATGTTTCTTCATTTGACATCATTGGCATACAGAAACCTAGAACATGATTACAGATTGAATGTACAACATTTATCTACTTGTGTAAACCTTAGTAGCTAGTTCTTACTTAATGAATCATTCAGTGCTATAAGGTTCATACATAAAGGTAAAGTTGTCCCTGTGCTTAACTAATTAAGCACTATGCCATGAAGGCATATGTGGGAGTGGATGCAAAGATCCACATTTGCTTAACCTCTGCACTAGTTGGAGGTGGTCAACTTCACGCCCCAGCCTATTTATCCCAGTTCCCATTGAGGCTTGGTGGGCCCCAAGAGCCAGTCTGGATGTGAATAACAGTAAATTCTTATCCCTGCCTGGACTCAAACTCCAACCCCTCGGTCATCCAGCCCATAGTCAGTCCCTATACCGACTACACTATCCCAGCTCACCCATAATAGTAACAGTATTAAAAAACTGTGAATTTGCTTTAGACATGGTGATCTCTGCCTTGTAAAACGCAACTAATGCATCTTAGAGCTTGCAGGACAACCAGTAGATAAGAGCCTTTTAATACAATTTTTCATTTCCTGAGAGCAGAGAAGTTCATGGAAATAAACAAAATTTATCCAGTTCATTCATATGCAAATTAATTTTACTGTGTCAATGCCAGACTCCATTCAGTGTCAATAAAAAATCCACTTACATTACTAGAAATTGCAAACATATGATCCATCCACTTTGGGTATAATGTTGCAGAATAATTCAAACACGACCACAATAAATTCATGGTTATTTCGTTGTATAAAAACATATGAATTAATATTACATTTCTTCGTACTATCTATCCATCACGTATCTACCCAATAAGCATTTCTTCATCAATATAACTATTTTGAGTTCACAAAATAACGAAAGAGCGAGGCTGATGGTTCTCCCGACACGTTGGTAACCACCTATAAAACTAAACCGTGTCATAACCTAGAGTATCGCAATCTAAATTTCCGCGATCACACGGCTGTATAACAATTTGAGGTTAGGTTCGGGGTTAGAAAGAACACAAAACAATGGCCATCTTGTAACTAACGGAAAACAAATATACTTAAATTATAGTCGGACTAAACGGAATTTGAATTATAGTCGGACTAAACGGAATCTGAATTAACTTGTTACGCTTTTCTAATATGGATCACTTATGTGCTCAAATCTTAGCTACCTTTCCAGCTATAGCCCAGTGTATCAACCCAATGGGTTCGCACCGGTATAATAAGAGCCAGTGGTTGGTAACTTTTGGGATATTTTTGGTGCATACAGGTAAAATTAAATTAAAACTGTGATAAGAATATGTTGTGGCCTATCAATCATCTTGTCACTGCAATAAATATGAATAACACCTGTCTACTGACGAGATGAACACAGTTTAATAAAAACTATCGCATAATTTGGTTGCTGCAACAATGGAACAATTCGAGTATTAAAAAAACAATCGACTGAATTCATTCCCCATGCACTTTATACAATGAAACAGCCTCGTTCTTGTAATATCTCCTTTATTAATTTCAGTAAAACATCGTATCCTTCCGCTGTAGTTCGGAAAGTTCGGAAGTTCGGAAGGTAGTCACCACGGATTTACGTAGGCAAAGAAAATTAATGTAACTGCGGAGCATGGATCAGTTTGGGTGTGGGTACACCGAGGATACTGGCAACTGGAACGCAACCGCAATTCCCAAGAAATGTCGCCGATTTCAAGGAGGAAACTAGTTTCTAGATTATCAGGCGCACACTGAGGAAACTTATGTTTGATTAGCTGCTCACACAATCTTCAGTGGATATATTTGTCCGACGCAATGCATGATTTTATTTTTTAATTTCGTGTACTTACCTTATGTAATGGAAGGTAATAATTCTGATCCTGTCATAATATGATGGTAGTTGAGACCGGTTGAGACGGCGTGAGAAGAGAGGATGATGACAATAGGAATAATATTTGGATGTTAATTAATTTGTTTAGGAAAAGAAAACATTTGGCGCATGTGTTCCTCTTTGACAATTTAAATTGAGGCGCATATATTGTTTCGAAAAAAACTTAACAAGGATCCAGACTACTTCGTCTCATGAGAAATTCTTTCCCAAGCCAAATATATTTTGTTCGGTCTAATCTGGGTAGCGTTTGTAACATATACCAGACTCTAGCGCAATTAACTGCACAAAATATTACTAGCTTCGTCACCGCTCGTGCCATCTTAAGCATGATATTTCGATTAAAAAAATTGAAGAACCAATTTGAAATTTTAAATTTTGTGGCATTTTGTGTACAAAATCAATTGTGTTTAAATAAACATTTATTACTTCAACGGGGTTCCCCATAAACCAGTCACGTTTCTTCTTCTCTGTTCATCTTTATAAAGTGTCCTCATAGCAAAGAATACTGAACTAATTTGGGTATATTTAGTGTAACTATACTGTGTTCCTTATTTCAAGGTGGCAGACATTCTGATTGTCGATTTATGATGAAGGAATATATTTTGTATCCACAGCCAAGAGTATTGCTTTCAACTGAGAATGGGCAGAAGGCCGTGTCTCTGCGTGAGAATGAGAGCGCGCGCTTGTGAGTGAAAAAACAGAAGGACAAATATTGACCTTGAGAAAATCTGCATTGCCTCGGTTTTGTAGATGTTTTATCTGAATTAGAATTGTCTTTGTATGCTGATTTTTCTCATTAGGAAATGAATGAAAATACTACTCAGCTATACTTCGAACTCCATAAATTTTTAATATTTATAGTAATAATTCATGGTTAACAAAATTTAATGTTGCAGCAAGGTTACAAGTTATTTCACCAACGTGAACTTTATTATTACGTGCATGTGCAATTTCTTTATTTTAGGCGTATATAAGCTGCCCCACGAGGTAAGGTCAATATTATGCAACGTCATTCTAAGCAAAGATAGTGTATATGTACATGCGTCCAATTCCGAACGGTTTCCAGGATAGAGCTATTTCACTGTACAGTAGTTTGAATTTGACGCCCAATACTGTCCTTTCCTCCTGCCGTTTTGCGCCACCGTCTGAAGCACGTGAATCGGTGTGAAGCGTCAGTTGGCCGTTGTGACTGTTGATAGTGACATTGTTGGTGTGTTGTTAAAAATGCAGCACATCTTCTCCAGTGCCAAATATACTGATATGCTGTACGTTTACGGCTTCTACGGTGGAAGTTCCACTGTTGCTGTTGAAAAATATCGTTGAAGGTTTTCTATGTGCAGAATTCCGAATCGTATAGTGTTTTCCAAGGTGTTCGATACATTGCATGAACGTGGTACGCTTCCCAGTTCTCATGTTTTATAAGAAAGAGCACGTCTACAGCATATGGAGAAACAGGGATACATTCTGGAAATGGTACAGCGTAGCTCTGCTACTAGCACGTGAAGGCTTTCAACACGTCTCGGTGTTTGACGGACACGTTTATGGCGAACGTTGCATGATGACGGCTTGTACATTTTTCACTTACAGCTTTTGCAAAATCTGCACCCAGGGGACAGTGTCATGCGTTTAGAATTTTGTCATTTGTTACATACTAATCGCCGATTGCTTCCATTATTACTGTTCACTGATGAAGCTACTTTCACATGTAACGGAGTCAACAACACACATAACTCGCATTGATGGTCTCACGACAATCCACTTGGTACTATTGAAACAAACTTTTAACGTGTTTTTTTATCAATGTGCGTTGCGGTATGATCGTTGTCATGTGAATTGGTCCCGTTATTTTAGACGATCGTGTGACAGGACATAATTACATAGACTGTGTGCAAAATGAATTACCAGAGCAACTACGTGTAGAAGATTCTTCTTTGGCTGAACGGGTTGGTATGTACTTTCAGCACGACGGGACCCTTCCACATCATACCCGACTTGTGATGCAACATCTCAATGACACTTTTCCTAATAGGTGGACCGGTCATGGCAATCTCATTAACTGGCCACCAAAAGTACCAAGTTTTTGTGTGTGGGATTGTATGAAGAGTGAAGTGTACAGAAGAAAAGTGGATACACGAGACGAACTGCTCGATAGCATAATGGCAGTTAACGCCCCCATAAAAGAAAGTCAAGATCGTCAAGATGCGCTCGGACGAGCAATAAGCCGTGTCCTCACATGAGTTCCAGAGTGTATTGATGTTGACTTGTTTCTTTCGAAAATGTATTATACTAGGTAAACTGTACAAACTGTCACTTGAACAGTAAATACCGGTATTAGAAACGGTACGTAATATCTCTTTCTTATCAACAATTTTGGAACTGTACATTAAAATAACTCTACCTCGCTAACCGTTCGGAATAGGACGTATATATGTATACATATACACTTTTTGATTAGAAAGATTTCCCAGAATATTGACCTTTCCTGAGACATTCTGCATTTCTGTATATCATTTTACCCGTCGAGAATACCTTTAATAACTGAATGTAGGAATAATTTCCCAATTGCACATGTAGTTTACACAGAAATTTATACGGCAACATCAATACTACAGCCTCACAGCTCCGTGTACTACATACTGATCGTTATCCCTGCGTCGTTCTTTGATTTCTGTGCAAAACTCATCTGGCTGAGCAAGCACTGTATTCAGAATCGGGTGAATGTAATATGTTTAAGATGTCAATCCAGAAGGGCAAAAGAAGATAAAGCGACAGTGAGTAATAACAGTTTTCACACAAAACTGTCTTTTATACCGAGAAAGTTAGACGCGTACAGAATTAAGTAGTCAAAATATTTGGATTCGATATCTTCATGCACAGAATCCTCTAGCGGATTCTTTCGCAGATACGTGCGCACCTAAGTGTTCGCAGATAGAACCCTGCAGTCCTATTCCTATGGAAATTTTTATGACTTTACTGAATGTAGAAATGGTAGTCCATGAAACGAAATTCGAGGAGTGGTAGTTATCAGGGATGCGTGTTCTGTTATAAATGGTCTGTGACTTTAAATACAACGAAACTTCGCAGCACTGATGAATTAGTATAAGATTCAGTTTTCATAAAATGTGCCATATGCCTTGGCTCACTGAGCAGATATTAGCATCTCAGGAAGCTCTCTTCCGTGGGGTAAAATTAACATTAAAATTTGTTCGTGTATGATTTAGTAGAAAAATTAAAAAATGATGGGCCCAACATAATTGTAGCAGCATGACCACACAAATCACATTTAATAAAAGTATATTTTTCCTGTAAACTGGTTTCAAGACATACCTTGCCACACATAATTGGCCTTTGATGTATTCCTGAACATGGTTACATATATTTCAACTTTGTTGTTCTTCTAATTGTCCAATCATATCTAGTATAGAGTTATACAAGAGGACATGATTCTATGAAGGTTTTTTGAAATGAACGCTTGGTTCACTCCTGTATACTTGCTTTCACTGTAAATGAACATACTTTCTTGATAAGCTGAACATAATGCAGAGTGAGCACAAAGTAGCTTACAGATTTCAGCACGTCATTATATATAATCAGTTACGAACTACTGTAATGCACTGAGACAGTTACACTGCCTGCTGAGTGATGGATTAATTGATCAATTTTTTAATTGAATCTCAGGTTCATTAGCAATGCTGTTTCAACTGCAGAAGTTACTTAGTCTCAAATTGTAGCAATCACTTGAAATTTGTCATGACCTCGTATTTTATTCTACTAGTCCTTGATTATTGTATATAACCATCATGGTATGTTTAAGTTGATGCCATGATAAAATATTCAGTCACAAAAGAAACAAATAATGATACATATTGACAATTATCAATGATGTATTCATGTAATGTAAAGCAGTTGTGAACATTATTCACAAAAATAATTAGGCTATAGTCAGAGGACATTTAAATTTCAAATCTGTTACAGTTTGACTAATTTATTAACATTTGTTATGTGTGGTTGTTCTTTTGGACATTGTCCATCATTCCAGTATTGAAATTGCTGTTCTGGAAATTGGTTCTATTTCCATCATCAGGTGCATTAAACCTTCTCTTATGGGTTGCTGAGTATGGTTAATCTCAGATCATGGGATAGCTCTGCCAACTGAGAAGAGTAAGTATTTATTTAATTAATACTGGAAATCAAGCCATTAAAAAAAACAGTTGCTTAGAAAACTGGGACAGTGGACTAATTCGAAGGAATAGTCTTAACCTGATTGTCAAAAGAGTTTAAATTTAATTTTCAGGTGTGTTCAGTACACAAAGTGTTATTTGCTAATTTGAGTAAATGTACTCATAGGAGGCAAGTTAAACCAATTAAAAGTAGTGTTTAATGTCCAAGGGTGAATATCCCAGCTTTACTCACCGTAATATTGCTTGGTGTAGTTACTACACCAAGCAAATTAGCTCATATGGTAACACTTCTGACTTGTAGTTTGAGGTGCTGGTTTGAAATTTTTGCTGGAACACTCACTATCTTGGCTGAAGGATTTCAAGGTTTATCTCAGTCCATGCAGGCAGATGTTCAGATAATACCTTAGATCAAGCCATGAGCACTTCTGCATCCTTTCCAATTCATCCTACATCCTTCCAATTGATGCTGTATATTCTGAGCTTCTGACAAACAAACAACCAAACTCCGTGGTTTTGTCTGCAAGCAAACTATACCGACCGAGCGACTGCTGGTTGTCGGCGAAGTTAGTGTCAATTTTAGCGAATAGAAGGTGTCACGTGGTCAGCACAACGAATCCCCACGGCCGTTAATTTCGGTTTTTCTAGACCAGAGCCACTATTTCTTTGAAATAGCTCCTCAGTTATCCTCACGAGGCTGAGTGGACACCATTCCACACCCACCGCTTCTTAGAAAATCTGGTAGCGCTGGGAATCGAAGCCAGACCTATGGATCTGTAGCCAGGAACTCTGACCACTGGACCACAGAGGCGGCTTCTGACAGCTTTGTTAAATAAGTCATTAATAAAAGAATTCTACTGCACCAGACTAATCCCAAGGTAGACAAGTTCAAAATTACATAAGATTTAATGTAAATGGCTGTCAGAAAGTGCAGAAAATAGATATCATATTTATTGTACCTTGAGATGTCTCTCAATATTAGTGGAAAAAATCAGCGACCTATCAAGTAATACTTCACATTGTTATCATCTACTATCGTTGATTCTGTTATAACTGCTAGGTGTGAATTTATTGTGTAACTGAAGTGACCAAGAATGCTGCTAGCAGAAAACTCCCAATATCATCTCACAGAACAAAACTTCTCAAACCCATAGTTACAAGTTCATACAAAGCTCAGGAGTAAACATAAGGTACCTACCTACCAAATTTTCTTCATGGGGTGAGGACTTTTTACTTGTCCTTGCTTTGAAAGCCTCCAAACCCCTTTTATTATTATTTAATTACATTCCATTAATCCATATAAGGTCAAATGACCTATAGGTTATAGAAACTGTGATTATAATGTTAATTGTTAATGTTAATTGCAAATGTTAGTGACTATTTCCAGTATGGTTCCCAGGTGGCTTCATTTACTCCAACTAGAAAATGCAGTTACTAGAATCCATACCAGAGCTATCCTGGTCACACAATTTCTGTAGAGAATGTGTTGAATACTTAACACGATGAGTAGTGTTTCATATGTGTTGAGTGTGATGTAGATGGAAGCAAGTCCACTTCCCCATATAATTTTATGATGTTTGTTTAATTAAGCATGGGGGAAACTTTACTTTTTACCTTCTGTAGTTATACTAAATATAAATAGCAAAGAAAATAAGTCAGACTTATTTGTTCTGTCTCACTATTTATTATTTTTCTCATGGGGTGAGACTGGAGCCACTGTTTGGCCTGTTGTACCTGTCCCAGGTGACAGATGATGATAATGATGATGATCGTGGAGCTATCAGAAGAATGCGAATTGGCAGGGGAAACCAAATTAATTGGAGAAAACCTGTGCCAGTGCCACAAATCCCACATGACCTGACCTGGGCTCGAACCCGGCCTGTGGCAGTGGGAAGCTGGCAACTAACCATCTGAGCTATGGCACAGCCTCTGTTTCACTATTCTCATAGTGGATTCGAAATGCAGATGTTCGTGCAACAGTGTATAACTTTGAAAGCTTGCAAATTGGAATGTTACTGTTGGCAGTTATATGAATATTATGCTGGACATTATTCATTGTCTGGATTATATTTGATATACCCAACCTTTTAGAAGCTGGATCCATTTTGGTCATCAGGTGTAGTGGAGGAAAGGATTCCTTGTTAGACCTCTTAAAACAGTTAGGGCCAGTCACTAGAAAATAAAAGAGTTCTGAGCAGAATCTGTATTCTGTATATGCCATATATCATCAACAGGAACATTTCTAAGCATAACATATGTTCTCTAAATGCCAAATATCAGTGGGAGATAACAGAAATATTGCCAGTACAAATTATGAAAGAAACCACAATAAAGCAACACTGACATTCCCTTGTAGGTAGACCTAAAACCAATCAACTACTAGAAAGACCTGCCAAGTGGATACATACTTTCTATTCTGCAGTAGCAGGGGCCATAAGGAGCCCAATCCTAGGCTTCGTTGATGACCTACCTTGTGATGAATATTGTTTCTTCCAGTTTCCTAATGTTCTGATTCAATCTTTGTGGATGATTTCTACTGTACTTCATTTTTTAAGAAAGAAATCACCCCCAAAGAATTAAAACTGTTATGAAGCTGAAAGAGCTGGCATTGATTATGCAGAACAACAGGGCAAGTAATTCTAAAGGGTTCTGACAGTGGTGTGTAACACTCAGAATTACTGGTTTTTCAGACTTTGTCCATTGTCCGGTTTTCTATAAACTAGAGAACATGACATTTCGGAAAATGGATCTGTTCTCAGGTGAGAGGGGGGAACACCTTTTTCTGTTGGTTGCCTTAGAAAGAGCTACTCTCAATCACTGGATGATCCAGTGAAATGTAAGTATGATCTAGTGAGATATGTCCATTTATTTACAGGCAGAGTGTTGTAACAATGGCAGATGAGTCCATACATGAACAACTGTTGGAGCCAGAAATAATTCTCACAGTAAAGCAAGAGGTTTGTAGACAGTGATATTGATAATTAGAAGCAGGAAATTACACACATATAGATATGCTTTAGGACTTGTAATGGTGATAAATGTATAAATTTAAAATTACTATACTATATGCATGAGTGTAACACACTTTAACATTTTGCATTTGTAGGGTTAAACATAACAGGTGGATGATTGTGAAGCCTTCAGAAATGTACTGCACATACAGTGTAAACTCTGTTGTTCAGAGACACTATGTACTGTAGGTTGATGTGTCAAATGCCTTTTGACATTATGAAACTGAGGCTAAAAATGCTTTAAAATAAAAATATACATATTGTAATCTTAAAATATACCTAACAGAATCTGGCATTTCATTCATGAAAATTATGAATCACATTCTGCATTATCTTACATAAGATTAATATGACAGTACATGAAGTTCTGAGAAAAACAAATCACCTACTTTCCTTTGATATGACATGGGCTACATAGAAAACAACTCTTCCAGCAATTCTTTGTTCTCACAGGAACGCCTTTTCTGAGTTGTTACCTAGCAATGATAGGGGGATACACATACAGACACACAGACTAATGGGATTTATGAAGTACACCGTTGAGATGGGTTCAAGTGCCATGATATATATACCAAGTTTCATAAAGATTGGTTCAGGCATCCAAAAGTAGTAGGGGGATTCACAAACAGCATGGCAGTCACATAAACCTACTTTCATTTTTTAAAATAAGGAAAGTAGGCTAAAAAATACTGTTAAAATAATCTTAGCTACAAATTTTGCAAGTATTGGCACTGTAGTTACACAAAATGAACATGGTTTCTCTTCTTACTCATTCTGGTCTCTAGAAAAAACTATTTATGTCTAACTGAAACTAAACCAAACTCTACAGATTCGTACTCACTGCAGCGGTTATCATAGAATTGATTCCGAATGATAACCTATTCAAATATTGGTACCAGAAAAACCCTTTCCTTCAACTCACATAACACCATTATGCGCAGTATGCTTTGATAAATCTTATTATATATGGTAAAAGATGATACAAATGAATAACATTAGGAAAACATCTCACTTTCATGTAAATATCTCCTGGCATTAGAAGATAATTTTATGCCATAGAGTGTCTTATAATCTTAAGACTTCTTTTGCATGTTGTACGGGCATGGAAATGAAATTGGCTTGCATTAAGCAGGCCTCTTTCTTTGATTTGCCTTTGGAATATTTTCAGAATATCTTTTCTGAATAGCTTGCCCGTTGTGGACAAGAGGCTAATCAGGTGTAAATTTTGAGGGAATTTTTGGTCCTTGCTAGGTTTTGGCAAGGTAACTTTTCTGTCCTTCCAAGACTTTGGAAAATTTGACAGCTGAAGGCAGTGATTGAATAAATGTGTCAGATGTACCAGTGGTCTTGTAAGATTCTTGAGGCATTCATTTGGAATACCAGCAAGTTTATAAGCCTTTCCCAATTTCAGTTAATTTACTAATTTATGTACGTCACAGGGTCTTACTTGTCTCTCAGAGCAGAATATATATGTAAATCATGCAGCTGTTTGCTGAGGTCATAGCTCTGCCTCCAGTACTATGATTTTGTCCGATCTATGAATTCTAGCAGCCATTTTGTTTCATTAAGTTAAGTATCAGTTGATATAGCAACTGGCTGTGGGGTGGACAACCAAGGAGTGGAAGTCCTGGTAGGTTCAAGAATTTTCTCTTCTCCGGTGTCCAGACTGACTCCGGGACCCACCCAGCCTCCTATCAAATGGATATGGGGTCTGCTTCCCTGGGGGTAGAACGGCCGGGGCATGAAGCTGACCACTCACCCCAAACTAGTGCTAAGGTCAAGAAAACGTGGATCTATACATCCACTCCCCATACATTTTCATGGCATAGTGAATTAGTTAAGCAAAGGGAGAACTTTTTACTCTTTTTTTTACCATTTTTATAATGACCATTATTTTGTCTTTTCTGACACAGCTTCCCTGAGCTCTTTCATGATGTGTTGCACTACAGTGGCGACTTTTAAACACATCACTGTTAGATGGACTGGGGGCCTGTACTAACAGATGTTTTCTAAATTTCCTCTTGTGGCACAGGGGGCCACAGGTTTTTCCCATCTGCCTTGGTATGGCACTGGATGAGCTTTTTTCCTCCTAGGGTGCAGTTGCAGCAGATCAGTGTAGATTCTTTATTCGTCTTTTTATGGTATTCCCTGTGCAGATGCCACCACCGCACCGCACACATCAAGGGTGTTGCTTGCAGTTGGCCCAGACATGACCAAAGTTTTGGCAGTTGTAGCACTGAATAAGGCTAGTCTGAGCTATGTATAACTCTACCTTGATGATAATATGGTTAAGGCTATTCATCTTGAATATCTCTTGAGATATGTTTCTTGTTAAGGTGACAAGGAATTTAGGGAAGGGTTCCACGCAGGTTTGTCTGTTGGGTGCTCTTCGAATGGCTATCATTTGCTTCACATTGATGACGTTGAAGCCTGTGTGTTCAGGGCTGTTGGAAACAGTTTCCACTGGCATGTCTAGGGGAAGGTGAGGGTTTACTGCCTTGATAGGCTTTTTGGAATTTGGGGAGAAGGTAAAATGGTAATTATTTTTCACCAGGTAGGATTTCATGGCTGAATAGTCCACCATTTCTTTTGTTATGATATGGGTTCCATTGCATGTATTTCAGAATTCATACTCTCCTTTGACATGGTCTTTTTAAGTCACTTTGGAGTCAAATGAGATTTGTGGTCAGAGTCATTATTGGTGGCGCCCTATCTTGTTTTCTGTTCCAGTAATGTATTTCCTGCTTCACTAGTCTCCATGTCCATGTCAGTATTTCTGAGAGGTGTGAAGAAGTTGCAAGTTAATACTGCTTTTGGAGGCAGCCTGACAGCGGCGGATGTTGGGACTAGTTTAGCTGACTTCTTGGCTCTCTGTGACAGAGGGAAGAAGGAAAAGGAGGCTGGAGAAAATTGCATGATGATGAGCTTTCAAAACTTGTACTCTTCACCATACATATTACTATGGTGATCAAATGAAGGCAGATGTGATAGGTGGGGCCTGTGGTATGCATGGCAGAGATGATAAATGCATAAAGAATTCTAGTCTGCTGCTTAGGAGACTCAGGCAAAGATGGGAGGATAATGTCTTGTTCCGCATCTGCAGGCCTTTGCCTGGGTATGGATTTATGGAACGAATAAATATGAATGAATGTTAAAGTGAATCTTGAAGAAGTAGGATATGATGGTATACACTGAATTGGGGCCAGTGACTAGATCTTTCTAAACATAGTAATGAACTTTCTTCATATTCCCTAAAAATTATGGAATGTTTTGAACAGCTGAGTAGCTATTAGTCTGCTCTGCTCTGTGCAGATGATTAAATATAGAGCAAACTCTGTATTGCAGCAATAATTATTTTCACATTGTAAAATGGCACTCTTAAAATATATGGATGTGACAGCCATTACACTAGATGCATACTTAAACCTATGATTTAAGATTTACATACATCTTTTTGGGGTTCTTTATGAAGTAAATGTTAATGGGTATGATAGCTGGAGAGCACAAAGGATGGGGGAATTCAGCTTCACTAAAAATTATGTGCCTTGGAAAAGCCTGCTAGAATAAATCCAGGATTGCCTCAGCTGTATGGACCACTGCCGAAATTGCATCCTCTGACAGATTTCTTGTCTAAGAGAATAAATATCACCAAGACAGGGGTTCACAATGAATGTCATATAGGCCTCCTGATTCATGAATCATCTTCTGGAAAGCAGAATGTCTGTAGACAAATTTTTCTTTCATTACAGCATTGCTGTGGTTCTGATGCAGTACTGTATGTGGTGTAGCTTTTCAGTTGCTCGTACTGCATCTATCACCTGTTTTTATATGAAAATGCGTGTCACATATGCAAACTTCTCTGAAGTGATAATTCTTTTTCCCCAATTCTACGACTTCTTCAGAGAGTGCAACATTGTCAAGCACCATTCCCTCCTCAATGGTCTCCTTCCATCTGAACAAATTTCCAATTTCTTAGAAAATTTTCACTAATATCTATATTACATGCTTTACTGATGACTGTTCTTCAAAATTCATATGCTTCTTTAACTGCTCTTATATTTGTTTGGCTAATTGCAGCCTTTCCATATGAACAGAAAAATGTTCCACGGTATAAACCTTTGTATTCCTTGGAACTTTTACAACCATTTAATCCATGAAGAGACACAAGGAGACTAATATCTCTCTCGCTGATAAAAAAATTGCATACACAGCATATATCCTCTCACAAAAGTGTTTTAAACTTCAAGACTATTATAAAGGGCCATACTGTATGAAGAGACGATAGTACTGTATATATATAAACAGGTATGACACATTTATTTAGTGCCAGCGCTAGCATAGTTCACCTTTATACAGCCAGTGAGTGATCTGATGTACAATTAGAAGTGCCAAGTAAGTTGAATATCAGTGACTCATCTGACGCTGGCAGTTGTTGAAAATTTTTTCAAACACTAATTGATTTTGGCTCACAAGGGATTAAATCACCCCTCTGCGCAAAATAAATATTTGGGTTTAAAAATAATTGTAAGATAAATGATATAAACGCCGTCTCAAGTGCAAACAATATATTTTGTGTCTTTGATCTTGCTCCCTACACTACATGTTTCGGCCTCAGACGACCATCATCATGTAGTGTAGGGAGCAAGATCAAAGACACAAAATATATTGTTTGCACTTGAGACGGAGTTTATATCATTTATCGTATGGAGTGCAACAGGATGCTTAAATATAAAATTGTAAGATGCAGATCAGTCATAATGCATCTTTTCATTTAATCGGCCTGTATGTATCAGAATTTCAATGTTCCTTGTGTACACCAATCACTTTATTCTCTGTAACTGAGCACAATAAGTAAATCACTTATAAAATTTTTCCCTCTACTTCAGGAAGATGCACATCAGAGTTCAAGCTCCTTGAATTTTAACACTGTTCAGACTTACAAATATACTCGTACTTCAATCAAGATGAACTGCCAAGAACTTTCAGCAGATGTAAACTCTGCATCATATATTGGAAACAAATTGAGGTTTGTATAGTATACTTATACATTTCCCTGCATTTAATGTAGTATTACATTTTCTTCTGTATAATGGTTTCTTACACCAGGGTAGATGAGATGCTGAAAGTATGCTCTGTTATGTGTATTCCACACACAGTTAACTTTCAAACAAAACTTCATCTCATGTAACATTTTAAAAGTATAAACATTTTAATGATGGCAGTTCTTGTGACAGCAGTATTTTTTTCCCCCCAGCTTTTGTGATCATATAATAAAGCAGTCAGCTGACAATGCAGATACTTCTCTTGCACAACAGCATGGGTACAAGATATTAACTGCAGAGGTCCCGTCTCAGGACAGCCGACATAGTGATAAGCCACATGTATGTGACATGTGCGGGAAGGGATTTATGCTGCGGAGCAATCTCAAGCAACACTTGTTGGTGCATACAGGCATTAAACCTCATGTGTGTTCAGAATGTGGAAAGCGATTTACACAACTCAGCAATCTGAAGACACATTCCATTGTGCATACAGGTGAAAAGCCACATGTATGCACTGTGTGTGGGAAAGCATATACTTCTCTACACAATCTCAAAGCTCATGACTATATACATACAGGGCAGAAAAAGAGACACATCTGTGAGACATGTGGGCAGGGATTCTATCAGCATGGGGACCTAAAAACTCACAAATTAATACATACAGGTTATAAACCCCATGTTTGTAGGGAGTGTGGGAAAGGTTTCATTAAGAGAGGTGATCTGAATATCCATATGGTGGTACATAGTAAAGAACGACCTTTTGAATGTGATGTTTGTGGGAAGACTTTTGCTCGCAGGTGGAATCTCATAAATCATGCTATAATACATGCAGAAAAGAAACCATATGAGTGTACTGAATGTGGGAAAGGGTTTAATCAGCTAGCAGGCCTAAAAATACATACAGTCATTCACACTGGTGAGAGACCACACATTTGCAAAGAATGTGGCAAGAAGTTCAGTAACATGGGTGCTCTGAACAGGCATGTGATAATTCATACTGGGGAGAAACCCTTCTCTTGTCTATGTGGTAAAACTTTTGGTTTAAAACACCAACTAACAAGGCATACTGTTAAACATGTTGTTAAAAAAATTGTCTAAATGTTTGTTGTTCACCAAAATGAAATTAATGTATTACTGACTACTTGCTTTCATGCTTTAGGTCCCAAATTGTGTCTTCGATTCTCAGTTTCTGTGTTCCCTTATTCTAATTTTCATTCTAGCACTTTGCAGACCGGACGCCTAGGCCTAGGCGTTTGGGTTTTAAACGTGGCAGACCGGTTGCCTAGATTTAGGCTTTTAGGACACGTTATGTTGCAACACACTATTCCTCGCTTTGGTGGCCATGTGTCTATAAAAGTACTGCGTAGCTGACCTTTGGAATGTTTGTTTTCCAAGTCAGCAACGTGACCACTCTCTATTCCCCTCTCACTCTAAAGAAAAGTCCCTTTGTTCAAGTTGAAGCTTCTATGTATGAGGCAGGATATTCTCAGTGTCAACATGGCTCAGAGACGAAAGCAGTTGAAGACCGCACAAGTTCTCGGAGAAGAAGAAATCTGTGATTTGATCTCCGGTGAGTTATCTGACTTGCCAACTGCTTCATCTTCTGATAGCGATGGCAGTGACAGGGGCCCCCAAAATATTGTGACCAGAAGAGAAAGTGAAAGTGACAGTGAGAGCTCTGATGAAAGTGCAAGTCCTAGCATTGCGGGGACAGCCACATGGGGTAAAGTGGACAAAACACCCACTTTGGGAAAGTTTACTGGTGATCCAGGGGTGAGACAAATGCCATCGGACCCTACGCAAGTGTCTGAAGTAGCTGAACTGTGTTTTGGATTCCTTGGAGGGGAAGGCTTCATTTTCGAACGTATAATCCTGGGAAACTCACAAAGTATGGCCTACTTGTTTGTGTAGTCACGGAAAGCACTTCAGGCTGTATTGGAAATTTAGAAATTTATTCCAGTGAAGGCAAGAAATTGCAAGAAACTATTGTTTCCATTTTGAATCCCTATCTGGATCAAAATTATCACATTTATCAAGATAATTTTTATAACAGTGTGGCAACTGCAGAATACCTACTTTCAAGGAAAGTACGTATTTGTGGTACAATTAGGGTGAACAGAGGCCTTCCTCCAGATCTAAAAGAAGAATGTAAATCCCTGAAACGTGGTGACACCACATTCAGGAGGAAGGGGGACATTCTTCTTCAGTCCTGGAGGGATACTCATGTTGTGAATATGATTTCCACTATTCACAATTCGAGCATGGTCGATGTTCAAAGACGACACGGGCAAGTGAAGAAGAAGCCTCTTTGTATTTCTCAGTACAATATGTTCATGAAGGGAGTTGATAGAGCTGACCAATACTTGGCCTATTATTCCCTTCCTAGGAAAACAGTAAAATGGATGAAGAAAGTTGCCTTGTGGCTTATAAATTGTGCCCTTTTCAATTCATTTTTGGTTTTCAAAGAGCTAAACGAAAATTCAACTTTGAAATACAAGGCATTTCTCATGAATGTGGCAAAAGCCTGGGCTACAGACCTCACGGTGGCGGCAGAACCTGCGTCAGACACAGACGTAGTATGACCGGGACCATCTACTCCCACTCCACGGAGGCCTCATATGGACCCCCCTGGCCGACTCTCGGGTGATATGCGGAAACATACCCTCATGAAAATTGTGATGAGCGAACAATTGACGGGGAAGTATCCTTCTAGACAGTGCCATGTGTGCGCTGTGCAAAAGACGCAAAGCAAGACTTCCTACTTCTGCAAGTTCTGCGTCATGCCTCTTCACAGAGGAGAATGTTTCCAGAAATATCACTCTGAAGCACTTCTAGGAGCTTTGGTAAGTGTTCTCCAAAAATTTTAGTTCATAAAATTAATTATATTTTATATTAATTTTTAAAGTGAACAGTGCACAAGTTAGGGTAGTAGGTTTAAAAATGCCGGTCCCCAGGGTGATTTAAATATTTAAATCACCAGTCCACGAAGTGCTTGTAATGATTTTACTCAACCTTGCAAAGTCTGAGGAGGATATAGTAGCCAACTCTGATGTCAAACCACTGTCTACTCTCTGGAAAATATGAAAGTAATAATATGTAATGACTGTTTTTTTTTATCTGGTTAGGACAATATTTGCACAGTACAGATTTACTCTTTTGAACACTGCTGACTGAGCAGGTTGGTCTATCAGTAATGCTCTGAACTTGTTTTTGGGAGGTGCTCAGTTCAAATATCAGCGAGGATACAGGCTACTGAGACTGAAGTTTTCTTAATTTTCCTCATTCCCTTCAGGCAGATGATTGCAGAGAACCTTGGTTAGGCTTCTTCAGAACACTTTTAGACTCATAATTCTCCAACGATTCTACCATTTGACACTGTATAATTTTAGACATTGTTGTAAAAATCCCCATCAAATTACTTCTCATTTTCACGCTGATGGTAACTTTTAAAGAAGATGCCCTCAAGGCAGATCACCAGAAAATGATATGTTGTTTCATGTAGAGGATTAAGGTATTCGCTTTGGATTATAAAGATTGATACTGCAGACTTAGTTTTTGCAGTCTTGGACATCTTCCTAATGAATAGTTTGTCAATAGAAACCCTCTACCAGGTATCATTTCTAGTTGTGAACTTTTACTGCTACTGAAACTTCTCCATTGGCTGTGCTGTGTGTATGAAACCAAAGATATGTATCTTTATGCAACAACAGAACAAAGGAAGTTTGTATTTCGCCTGGGTGTGGCAGGCCACCTAGAAAGGTGACCTGTTTGCAATAGTAGAGAGTGAAGTATATCTCGGTTATTCTAATTTACAACCAGGCAACACAACCACCACTCCTAGGAATATAAGAGAATCACAAAATTTTGATATGTGCAACATTTACTTCCGCAGTACACTTTTATCAGTTGTAATAAAAACACTCACTCAATGAAGTTCATCTACTGCTGCATTTTATGCTTACAAGGAGTGACCTTGATTATGATGCCTCATGACAAATTGAAAACTTAGACTTCACTGTGCAAAGTTTTACATATATATAGATGGTTCAGTGTGATCATATTTTGTTAATACGCCCATGTCCGGAAATGCTTTGGTTTGGCACTATGGGCCAAAAAAAGTTTCCAATAGAATGCTTAAGTTTGAGTGGAGGTTATCATTGTTTTATATTATAAAAGGTGTTTAAATGGCGGCTACCAACTTGATTGCATGTTCTGCTGAACTCTTCAAAAGATTCCTGGCATTTCCCAGATGGATCCAGCTGCTACTACAATTCTTGCCACAAGATAATGTTCTGTCTCCACTGGAGTCTCGTACACCAGGCTTTGCATGTACCACCAGAGAAAGAAAACCAATGGATTCAAGTCAGAGGAGCAAGTGGGCCAGGTTATTGGGCCTCCACATCCTATCCATCTGTTGCCAAAGGTTTCATCCAAATACTCACGGATGACATTAGTGCAGTGTGTCAGGGGGCCATCATGCTAGAATCACATTTCATGATGGTCTTCCAAAGGCACCACTTCCAGCAGCTCGGGTAAGGTCTCTTGGAGAAATGTTAAGTAAATATCAATAGTAAGCCACAGAGGTAACGGCATCCTCCTTCACATTTCAGAGGCCCTAGCGCGTAAACAGAGCATTTCCGGACATGGATGTATGAACAAAATATCAGACTGAACCCATCTATCTAGCACAGAGCGTTGTAACATATTTATTTACACCCTGCATAAAAACTTGCAAAAAATTAAGGGTACATAATGGCCAAACATAAATAAAATGTGTAACACCTGACACCCTTCTTAATGAAATACATTGCTTAGCTGTAGTGAATGGTTCATTGTCCACCAGAGCTCAAATTTAGAAAAGCCACATAAGATCTCACAATATTACAGCCTCACTATGCTCCTCTGTATCATAACTGAAGTAATTTTCTTAGTAATGTGTTTCAAATTTACTGCATGTACCAAATCCTCACGTCATTCAGTTCTCTCCATTTCAACACAAACTTATAGTAAATGTTCGACCCTGAATTGTATGGCCTTACCTAAGTGTACAACATGTAGCAGTGAATCACTTTCAAAGAATCCCGTATACTGATTTCTTTCATAGAACACTCATTCTTTTATGGGAAGATGTTTGCTTATCCACTTAGTGATCATATGGGCATGTGGTTTCAGCATGATGGTGCCACTTTTCATGCCATGTACATAATTCATTGAACAGACGCTTTCCAGATGCATGGATCAACAAGAATCATCTATAAAAGGGCTGTGGGGGTATGATCATCTGCCTATCATGTTTGGTTTGGGTCCAGATTTTTTCTTACAGGACTGCATCAAGGAAACCACTTGTATTGGAAGTACAAGATGGACAACCTGATCAAATTGAGTCCTAGTAGCTGCAGCAGACATTTAAGGCCAACCTAGACAATTGGTTTGCATTGAAACTTGATTGTCTTGTTACAAAGTGTGCATGCCAACTAAGAGTGGTTAACTGTGAGCAGTTCTTGTTGGGAAATGAACAGAACTATATGCTAGCCCTAGTATACAATGTTTTCTATTAAACATAATGTAAAATTCAAACTAATGAGGGCTGATAGCTTGGGAAACCTTTTCTGTAATTAAAAGTACAAAATAATAATGTTTAATTTACATGTTATGCTCCAAATTACTTCTCATACTTGCCAAAGACTGGCCACAAGGCATACAGTCTTTCACATAAACACCTGATGCTGTAGCGTGACTTACATACATACGAGTACATACATCAGCGTTTCACAGTATTCATAAGTGTGCAACTGGCACTGAATATAAAACTTGTCAAAAAATAGTCAGAAGACAATCACAGATAAAATCTCAGAGACATCAATTCGACCATAGTTAAAATCTAAACTGAATACCTCAATTAAATAGATACAATGTTATACATATAATTACACAAAGATAATTAGCAATATATAATAATTCTCCTTCCTACTCATATATACATATGCATTCAACGATGAACTATAGTTTTCACATATTTAGATATAAATTGCACAGTAATATAATAAAATATACCCAAATAAACATATTTCTGATTATAAATCTTTACAATAAAGCAAAAATTCATTAACTGAATAAAACGAATTATTGATTAATATTTCTTTTAGTTTTCCTATGAAAAGTTTCCTGTCTTGTACCAAATCTCTTACATAGAGTAGCAAATTGTTGAAAATTTTAACACACATGTAATAACCTCCTTTTTGCCTTACTGCTAAATGTGACTGTAATACATGTAGATTCCCTCTATGTCTTGTGGTTTTATTATGGGCTGCATAAGGGATACGCTATTTATACGAATCACATTCACTGATCGAATGTAAATACCTTCCGAAACTTAGGAAGAACTACTTCCTAATTTGCTCATATCGGCTTATACTAGAACTGCATTATCAGAGTAAGCGCAAACCACGGAAACAATCTAGCATGCACGATGGTGTGTAAGGCCAGAGCTATGTTACGATTCAATTTATAAATAATCTCATCCCACCTCAGTGTATTACATAGGACGAATTTAACCGCTGTCAATTACCATTCATAGTTTTAATAATCGTAACATGTCGCATATATCTATGTCTGTCTTGCAGGGCTAACTGGAATGTATCCCATTCACTTGTAATATTCCTTGCCTTCCTTGCCTTCCTAGCAATATAAACGAAAGATGTTGAAAAAATTATAACTCTAAACAAAATATTTCTCACGTTACACACGTTGAAACATACAGTAGGCAGTGAATTAGCATGTTTCGTAATGGGGCTTGATACAGTGTAGTTTTTAAGCGAATACAGTTTTATAATGTTCTGAAATACGGAGGCAATGCCTCCATTTGTTAAAGAAATCCGTATTTGGCGAATGGTGAGTTTGTAGTAGGCCTACATGTATCAATTTCCAAATAATTTTACAGATGGGAGGTATGAGGATGGAATTCGGTGTAACGTCATACTGTACTTCGAAACGCGTGTTAGGAATATACAAATGTATTCCGTCATATTTCATAACGTGTTTCATTTCTGCAGTGATCTGCAAAATCTATATATGTATTATGTAATTTTAAGAGATTTAAATTTATTCAAATGTTTGAACCAAGTTTACTATTACAATATATTTGAACAAGAAAATCATAAATAAATGAAGTATGGACTTAAAATATTGTGCAAGTGTAACAGGGATCTCTGCCCCTAAGGTAGTGATAGCAGCAACCTCTTAAAAACACTGATTTTTGCCAGTGTTATTCAGCCAGCTGACTGTACTGTAAACAAATAACGACCTTGGACAATAAAAGAGAAACTGTTTGGAATGTCATAAGAAAAGAGGTAAAATTTCATTTCATTTATTTCGTGTCCATGAATCATTATACATGATATAAGACATGTCATTCTTGTGTAGTTATAGTATAATAAGTTTCATGATGTTACTATTGGGGNGGGGGGTGCTGCATGTGAAGCATGTAGTGCAACGTGGAATTTGGGTACCAACTCAGCATTTGCTCTGGGACCAAGGAAAACCTTGATTGAATTGGCCGGTCACAAGACCTCCCAGATACACTGGTTTCTAGCAGCACCACTCCCACCGCCTCGGCTCCATATCCCATAGCAGTGAAATAGGAATGAACATTGAAATTGAAATAGAAGTTTCCTCAGCAAACAGTAATGCTTTCAACAAATATTTGCTCCTAGTTGCTGCAAGGATCTCCTCAGTTGATAGAAATAATTAATATATGCTTGGCAACCTTGTCTCAACTAAGTAACACTGTGGAATGAGTCTTAACTGGAGCAGTTAATAGTCACTCTGTAAGAGAAGAAATTATCTGGGCCTGATGCATTCAGTTTACCCTATTTCTTTAAGACCAATTTTAATATTATACTCCTATCTGCACTTAGCTCTTCTAAGTTTCCACAGGCTGTTTGACAAACATTTTGCAAGCAATTCCCATATCTCTCATGATAATCTTTGATTTTGTCACCCCAGTATTTTGTGAAGAGTAAAAATTATGAAGCTCCTTATTATACAATACATTTTGTCAAGTCCCTGTATATATCGTAGGTTACTGTATTCTCAGACACCTTGAATCTGTGTCTTCCCTTAACCATTATCCTCTAGAAAGAGGATTTTTAATCCCTCAAGTGCTTCAGGACTGGAAAACTAATAATCACTTAAATTTGAAAAGCCAACAGAAAAGTTATCAGGATCATGGCAGGTGCCAGCAAGTACAAACTGGCTCCTCGGTCATTCATGATTGATAACAGCAATGTTTCAAACAAACCCAGATGTTCACAAAGTCAATATGAAACATAGACTTGGTATTCACAGACAATAACTCAAGTCTAAGTGCTTTAAAGGCTTATCCATTAATAGAAAAAAATGCGGTTAGTCATGGGCTTCCCACCGCAGTGGCCCAGGTTCGATCCCAGGTCTGATCAAGTGGGATTTGTGGTGGACAAAGTGGTGCTGGTGCGGGTTTTCTCCAAGTACTTTGGTTTCCCCAGCCAATCTTCATTCCACCAAATTCTCCATCATTACAATCACCCGGGGGAGGCTACAGTAGGCCAATCAGTGGCTGCCATGCCGAGTGGACCCAGTTGGACTCCACCCCCACCCAAAGCGAATAAAAAAATAGAATTAAAAGATTTCCTTTTAATTCACACCCTAATTGATGAATACAAAAATTAATACAGTCTAATTAATAATAAATATTTACTTTTGTAAATGTATTCACATGTACTAATCTATGAAATTTATATCACATAAGGGCCTGCTATAAATCTCTTGGCCAGTCCAGCAGAAGAGACACACTTCTTGCATGATTTCTTTCTCCTCATGACTGGACCAGCTACACATTTTACAAACCCTTAGACCAATGCATCATAGACAAAATTCATCCAGGTGACAGCAGATATCAGAAATGGTTCCATTGTTACTTGTGCCTCCCTTGCATCTCCGTAAAAAGTTCATATTCGTGAACTGACATTGCTCTTTGGAAACAGCAAATTTGAAACTTTAAATCCCAGTCTCCTGTGAAAGGGATTTTCAAGGGCAGTGTTCAAGTCTTGCACTGATTTCATACAGTTTGTTTTTGGTGAGCACTTAGCATTTTGACACAATTGTCTCTGTGCCCAATGATGACTCTGTCTGTGTATTTCATTATGACACACACACACACACACACACACATGCGCGCGCGCACACACACATACACACACACACACACATACACATTCTCACTCACTGGTGTCCACAGCCATGTCTTCACTAGCCTTTGCTCGGTAGCGGGTTTCAGTGGCAGACATTCCCCTTCCTTTGGGTTCCTAAGCTATCCATAGCCTCAGTTACCAGCTTCTTACAGCAACAGCTCACAACGGCTGAAATACAGCAGCCCTCTTAAGTCCCTCACTCTCCGACCAACTCTCCCACTAATTCCACTGACTCTTACTGTTCTGCTTATAACATCTTGGTATGGATGGCATAGAAAACACCGCTGCTGTGTTGCAGTTTACGAGGTATTGTCTAATTGTTTGTTTGGTGGTTATCGCTAGCAATGATCTACATGCCACAATACTTTTACAAGATGAATAAAATTTTCCTACAAGAGAGATGGTATTAGTAATTTCCCAACCTGGTATTATTAATTTTATAGAGATGGTAGTTGAAAACATGAAGACAATGGAATGCATTTGACATAGTTGGTGTTTATTCTTACTGTCATTTAAAACATTACTGTCTTCATGGCATTAACAACAAACAAACTCAGTGGTTTTAGTTCGCAAGTGAAATATACCAACTGAGTGACCATCGCTTGTCAGTGAAGTTAGTGCCAAATTTAGTGGATAGAGGGTGTTGCATGGTCAGCGCAGTGAATTTCCACAGCCAGTAATTTTGGTTTTCTAGACCAGACATGGCATTAACAAAGTAACATTGTTAATAATCACTGCTTTTTAAATTTGGAGCTAAAGTTGATGTATTTATTGTTTGAATATATTAAATTTCAGTTGGGCCATTTAATATTCTTTCAAAAATATTATTCTCAGTGTTGATTTATGTTCCCACTGCAGGGCCTCCAATTTCAAAATAACTATGCATCAACAACTAGACTGATCTAGACAAGATTTTCCTTGGTTCCCAACCAACAAACCAACCAGCATTAAGCCTCTTACTCAACCACTAAGTCAGCCAGGTTTGTAATTCGGTTTTTATTTTATTTCAACAGCTGCTACGATCTCTATCTAACAGCTTCATGAAAACTTGGTGACCTGTTGATTTTCTTTAATTTGTTTACATGATGTACTATATAGATCACAAATCTAGAATCTGCTGGTAACTTTTATCTCCTGGTAATTAAATTATATGCATGTATTGCATGCACATGAAAACCGAACTGTGTAGAGTACTGATGTTTGGTTCATAACTCATATCTTCCATTGTAAAATACGTGTAGTAGAGAACATATCAGTCCAAAGGAGGAACTGGATCATGAAATGTTAAACAGTTCCTTCCAGTATGACTGGTGACGATTTTTTCAGTTATTTATGCCCTTGCATGTTTCGGTCTTCAGAGACCATCATCAGAGGGACACCTTTACATCAATACAGTTGGAAGCCACTATTATAACATATGTTCTGAATGTTAAAATATATTTTTTTTTCCTTGGCACTACAGCCCCAGTGGGCCTAGGCCTACCTCCATGAACTTCTCCGTTCACTTCGGTTTTTCTAGATCTTACACATTCGGTAGGACTCCTTGGGCGGGTGATCAGCTTGTCGCAAGGCCTCTGCCTGTACACAGACACAGAAAAACGCACACACACAAACTAAACATCCATGCCCTGAGTGGGATTCGAACCCAGGATCCCGGTTTCNTTTACATCAATACAGTTGGAAGTTACTATTACAATATATGTTCTGAACATTAAAATATATACATATAATATTAATAATATACAACTGGGTATAAAATCTAAAGTTTTTACAACTACAGTGGCTGTTCCTATATATCAAAATATTTGTAATTGGTTTGTTAAGATTTTATTGGAATTTATAAACCAAGTAGGTTCGTGTCGTCTTTCGTATTATTTCTCTTGACAGGGGCCAAATGTGTGCCGCCTTGTTTTTCTCGAGAAGAGGGCTCTTTGATGATGTCCTGTATGTGTTTGTGGCGTGCTGTGTTGGACTGGACTTGCAAAGAACAATAACATGTTCATGTAACTTTTGCAAATTCGACATAAACGCCATATATCATAAGAAAGGTGGAATGTAGTCATTTGCATATATCCCATAATCTGTTTTCTGTTATCTTCTGTACAATTCTATGGAAAATAAAAATAGTGAGACCTTGTTTTAATAAGTACATTTCTGTATACGTTATGGTATTTTGAGTTCATAGATGTTGAATTGGTTTGATGTTTCATGACATGTTTGTGTTACCAATTAAGCAGTTGATGAGATGAATGGAATATGAATCTTTATAATGTATGGCATTTGCATCTCATATGTAGTAAAACCTGCTGCTACAGGGATTGAAAGTAACACTTGCACCTGCAGGTAGTTTAAAAAATGTGCACTTGTGTTTGACTTCTTTCATTGGAATGTTGGCTAAAAAAGAAATTCATTGTTGCTCAAACTTGGAGTTAGAGATGAGTGCTCTTTCTTAATCACAGAGCTGCCCATATTTTTCCCCCAGCTTGTATTTGTTAAGTTAGTGTACCAAATTCCTTTCCATTGGTTCAACTTGTCCTTACCTAGGTAGAACACTGTCTTTCTAATATTCTGTTTTTCTGTTGAGTCTTGCAAATTTTGTTGGCTATTTTCGCTAGCAAGTGAATTTCATATATATATATATATATTTCTATGTGATGAATGCCT